GTGTATATATATAACTATATAACATATATATATAAGTACTATAGTAATAAACTAAAAGTTAGAGGGGAGGGTTGAGGAGATTGGACAGACTAAGGGAAAAGTGAGGAGGTAAGGAAGCCCAGGAGGAAGGAGCACCTGGGATACAGGGGAGACCTGCCAGGGCAGGTGGGTGACGAGGCACAGACCTGCAAGAGAAAGGAAGGCTACAAAGCAGCTTTAGAAGATATTACACAGGTTAAGCTTAGTACCAGAAACAGCATGCAAACAATGTGTGATCACCATACAGGGATAATCACTTACACATGACTCTGATAGTCGCAAGCAAAAGTTTGTGCTTACTGCTCAAGTGCATTTTGACCGTGACGGATATTCAGTAGCTGCACATGTTGCAATTGTGAATTTGTGCTTGGTGCGTAATGTTGCCCACTGTTCCCTGCAAATACGTATCAGTCTATTGAAGAGATTTTTTCCCAGCCTTCAGTTACGATTTTGGTACCATATCCTGAATTGCTTCATAATGCTTAAAAAGCAAGTAATGAAATAGGCTTGTTAGTGATTGGAAAAGAGAATTCTGTTTCTATATTTCCAGGTCACAAAATGCCAACAGTAAGTTAGAAAAAAAAAAGGGGGAGGGTTTTTTTTTGTTTGTTTTTTCCCTGGCATGCCAAGTTTCAGTAAAAATTTGGAATTAGAATGAAGTAATAAAAATATCTATCTTTTATGGTTACAAACTTTTATGTACAAGCAAAAAAAAAATGATTAAAAACCTATTTTGAAAAACAATAACAGCGTTTAATTTATTTTTTCCTTTTATGTGCATAATGATGTTTGGAGGAAATGTTCAAGGAGTGATTAGTTTTTGCGGGCCTAAAAGTTGTTCACCATGTTGACCTGTGATAGTGTTAATAATAATGCTCCGAATTTTGGCAGTGGCAAGTGTTTGATTGGTAGGTTATGTGCTTCACTCTTGTTTGCCTGTGTTGATGGAGGACTGTGTTCATGTTGTTGCTTTATGATAGGTTCTAGAACAAACTTCTGTAAATATGAATCATTTAAAAAGAGATAATTTCTTATTTACTCCCACTCTGAGATACCTACCATAAAACAGTTAAATGTTTTTGCATCTGTAAGTTCCACTTTACCTGCCAGATCCTTGGACTTCCTGTGCATGTTAGCACTATGTACATTATCAGCCATTTTGTGCTTTGTTAAGTATTTGTCCTGTATTACCAAGACGTACAAAGCACCATCCTAATGTAATGAATTCTTGTGAAGTCACTGCTTTAAATTATCAAATTGTCTTCCATGAGGATTTCTTGATATTTTTTCCTGCCAGCTTTCAAGATAGTGTGGCATCTCCTGCCCTTTTTTTATCACAGGGACCACCATAATAACAAATCTGTTTGAGCAGAACTCCAGTGCAACAATTTAGGGAGGATGAAGACTAAGGGAAAGGGCTGAAGGGGGTTAATCACTTTTCTTCACTTGTTATGAGTTCCCAGAAAATGTGATCCTGGCTACAATGTAAAATGACCGTTAAAGAGAGAGGTGTTATTTTCTAGAGTAGTAAATAGTTAGGTGCCTAAACAGTGGATTGGCTTTACTTCCAGTGTTGTCAGATGTGGCCTCTGTTTTGAGAAGCAGCCAAGTCATGGTAGACTGGAGTTTCACACTGCTTTGTCTACTCTTTTTTTGTCAGGGTATTTAGGTGCTTAGGTTACATACAAGTTGTCTTACTAATCTAGCTCTTAGACACTTCTGAGATAAATTTGGTTGATGCTTATATTTAAAGCCAATATACATGCAATTAAGAAATAATAATTTTTTTCTTTTAGTGTCATTAGTCTGTGGCGTTGTGGAAGGCTTACTTCAACCAAAGACTTATACTGGGAAGAGGACAGTGTGAATCTAAGACTTAAGAGTAGTGGAAGTGAGCAGTAATATCCCCAGAAATTGTTAGTCATTGGTTAGTCTCACAGCATCAGTGACCTTCTGTAAAGGAGTATTTCTGCATTATATGAAACTAAATGAAATGCAAATAAAGGAACAGTTTAATCTCTGAGGTTGCAGATAAGATTGCAGTTTCTGAAAATGTGCATTTGTTGGAGGATATAAACAATAAAACTGCTAATAGCAAATGATTATTAAAGACATTTATATTAACTCACCCCTCAAATTAGACTGTAGTTTGTTGTAGAACACTGTGCCTATGTAGACCTTTCTATAAATTTTAAGCAATATTAATAATAGAACAGCCTAATAAGGTATGAAGTGTTCTTTTGTAGTTCTGTTTTCTGCTCCTTAAGCTACCAATTAAAGGGTCTTGGCATAAACAGGGAGATTTGTGGGGAGATTTAACTGACAGACTCTTTGTTTTGTGCTCTCATCCCTGACCCATTTTCCATTTCTAGTCTAATAGTAAAACAAATCTGGACACATCACTGAGTTCTACTTAGTAAAAAGTACTTGAAAATGCATGTGAAATAACAGCCATAATGAAGGACATTGCAGTTCTTTTCTTTTTTAAGATGCCAAAAGCAGATTGTTCTGGAAGAATTCATCTGTTTATCTTTAGAAGAAAACAACTTGCTTTCCAGATACTTTATTCTTCCTCCTAAGTTGTGGTTGTCACTCTTCATAAAACGTTTTGTTGTCTTTGAGCTCAGGGCTTGGACTTTGCTTCATTTATCTCAGTCCACCCAGTTCACTTTCAGCTAAACTTAGGGTGTCACTTCTCTGGCATAGAATGCAGGTATCCTGTTATATTTCAGCTCTTGTTATTCTTCACCTGACCAAACTGTGGAACAGCGGCCTTTTCACTTACTCTTATGTCTGCAGAAGAGCAGCCTCATACAGAAATCTGTATAGTTTTCCTTCCAAATCTCAAGCTCATTCTGTTCATCACATATAATTCTAAAGGTTTTTTCAAAATATAGTGATATATCTGTTTGCAATGCTGTCTTTTCCACCTGCAGGAACTGTATTAGCCTGAATCTTTATTTTCCAATTCAGTATATCTTTTCTCTTCCTGTGATTCTGAACCTCTTTGGAATTCCCCAGTATATTCACGTGGTTGTATGTGCACACACCAAGATCATGTATGGATCTTCTGATTTCTCTCATGTTGATATTCTTTGGAGTCTTGGTGTATTTTTTTTTTTCTAACTCCTCCCAGACCTCACCAATTTAAACAGCCATTAAAATATGGTGATATGTAACATTGTTATTTCTAATATCACTAAGGAGTATTTGCATATGCATACTGCAATCTGTAGTAATTCCTTTTATTTTAGTAGTGCTATGCAAAAATATATTCTGTAAAAGTACTTTGATGTAGTGATAAGTGGATTCACTCAGTGGAATATAAATATAGATGGAGTCACTCAGTGGCATGTCAGATGATTGCAACAGAAATTATCCACGAGGATATGGGAGAACATCCTTGACAGAAAATACCAGTTTCACTGTATGATGAGTAAACTATTTTTACTCCACTGTATTTAGGTTTTTTCATGATTTGTAATGTGACTGCCATCCTGACGTTTTACATTGGTCTACTGTTGCACCAAGTAGGCACTTTCACCTCACTGCAAATGTTCCTGAAAAGATGTTTTACTGTATTTTAATCACTCCCAGGACTATCATGTGTCAGTACCAATGCCAATGCACAAGAAGCAAGAAAAGGTGAAGTCAATATGGAAAAAACATCACACTGGGCGCTGATAGCAAATAAGTTATTGCAGCAGTGCACATAAGGGAGTTTAGTGTGTCACTCTATTTTTTGAAGACTGGGGACAGAAAAAAGAAAAAAAAAGGCATAAGGAGCATGACTGAGCCCTGAACTATCTAATTTAGATGCTATTTTCTTTGACACTTGTATCAGTCAAGAGCAAGATGCTTCAGCGAATAGCCTCAATATCAGCTGCTGAGAAGCATAGTAGTCTGCAGGAAAAAGTTATACTTCCCTGTATTTGAAGGGGTTTTTTTCCCAAGAAAGTTTATGTACACTGACTGCGTCTGTGTTGCTGTATGGGTTGGATGGTCAGGATTTGGCTCTCAGCCATAGTTTTTGCCACTGTATTGTAGCTCCATATTTAGTAAGAATAGGACTGCATGGATTCTTGCTGACTGTTATTGATACTCCTTTGAACAAGATGTCTTTTGTGTTTGACAGTATATATTGTTTTATCCTTTTATGTATTAGTTATTTTGTAATTCTCATTTGTATAAAGAATAATTAAATATATTATGCACTAAAAGGAACAATTGCAAAGGTAAGCACTCCAAATTTATGAAATGCCAGAATTAAGATTGCAACTGAAGTCCTCATTTGTTCCCTTTGTATAGGTGTCTTAGATAATTATCTGAATAATGAGAAGCCCTTTTTTCTCTAGAACACCATCTTAATGATTTACATGTATCCTCTCACCAGCATAGACATAGGACTGCATACTTTCTCAATAGTGTTTATATTGTTCATACAACTTGATTTGCAAAATGTTACTATAGTACCGCATATTGCTACAGTTAGTGTATGTTTTCATTATATAACTAATGTATGATACAAGCACAGCTTGCATTTATGAACAATTCAAGTTGGGGTTTAATGGCAAGTTTATTTTAAAGAACATTGATCAAAAGGTAATTGAAACTTCTATATAAAATAAACCTTTTACAGAATTTATTTTTAGCAGCATTTGCAAATAATTATCCTGCTGTTCCCCAAGAGAAACATCAGTATTTGAGCAAAGTATAAATTGAAGCCAAAAGGTTAAAAGTGATTGCCTACAAAATCCCTAAATCCACATTGTGGAAACATGATTAGGAGTGGTCAAAATTACAAAAATCCCAAGTATTAAGAACTCAAAAATTAGATTAGTTGAATGTTCATAACCTCTGTAAATGAAACTCCGTATTTTTTGTTCATCATGTGGACACGTGGTTTAGACAAATAATACAAGAGGTTTTGAGAATTTAAACTAATATTTGCATTTTTACAGAAAGATAAGGAAGACCAGTGGCTAGAGAAAAAAGTGCAGGGTAGTAGAGATCACATCATCTTAGAGCATCTTCAATGGACCATGGGTTACGAAGTACAAATTACAGCTGCCAACAGACTGGGTTATTCTGAACCAACATTGTATGAATTCAGCATGCCACCAAAGCCCAACATTATTACAGGTAAGTTAATTTCAGAGTGGTTTCTCTCTATGAATTGTTTGCTACTCATAGTACACTAATGTGTGTAGTTGAACATAAGATAACTGAAGTCTCCTTTAACTGACAAAGCCCAAGACCCCATACTCTATTATCAGCAAAGACTCAATTCAAAACCCTTAAATGGGACCCCATTTCCAACTTTTCTCTTAGTAATAATTTCTAAGTACAGAACAAACATTGAATCTTCAACCCAGATGGTGACAGTTAACAAGAAATACAGTATTTAAGACATACCTGCTATGCATTTTTAAGTTGCCTTGTACTGCCTGTTTGTCTGTTGTAAGCAACTTAGTTGTTAGGATTCTTGCTTTCAGTCCAATTGAAAATATTTTTACATGTGCTTCAAGATACATATGTCAAAAAGGTATTTATTTTAGTGTCTGATGAGGTTAAGACTTCAAATAATCTTGTTTAGATACCATCTTAACACCTTAACATGGTGAGCATACAGCCTTCTTTTAAGCCTATTTATAAGCTTTGACGTCTATAGAAATTTTTTTCATATTTTGGAGTGTGTAAATAGGAATGTTTGGAATTTTTTTAAGGAAAAAGGCATAGTGAGTGAGTGTGCTTCAGTAACTTATTTATCAGGTTTTAATGCTTCCCAATGTAAAGTTATATTTTGGTACAACAATGCAAAATTATTTCATTCAGAATAAACCTAAAATACAATGGTAATTTCTGACATATTATGGGTAATCTTAATTTTTATAAAGCAAATGTTATGATGAAGAGATTTCAAATTTTTTGTCTAAATTATGAGCTGATATATTTAATAATAAATTCCAAATTCAATCAGTGTCATCATTACCATTTTAAAATCAAGTGCTAAATACTCTAACATAGTACTTTCTGTATGCCATGTATTAAACTATTAGAGTGTTAGAATTAAAATAAAATCTTGCCAAATAAATATAATGGCCAATATATTCAAATGTAAAACATATCAATACCTGTGTTTCACTCTGAGCATCTGACTAGCATTGATCTTAGTAAAGTGGCAATGAGTTTGAATGAGTCATAGACTACTGTGTCATCGGAAAAATTTGAAATAACTGACTAATTTTTTTTGTGTCTATTGCAAGTTTTCTTCGAATATATTTTCGTGGAAGTTATCTCAAGATCTCTGCAATATTTTTTAAAATTCCGTAGCAATTTGTTGATATCGGAACCATTGTTATTTGCGTTTATTGAAACAAATAGGCATTTGTAATTCATTAATAGGTTCAGATCCAGTGCTAGTACAAATATTTGGTTTATGCACTTGAATTGCAGTAGTGAGAGTTGATTTGCATCTTGATTGAAATTCAGGGCCTCAACAGGCCCTGTGTACTTGTTTTTAAACAGATAGTGCCTTGTGATTGCCATAATTCTGAAATAAGATTTTACTACATGATCGAAAAGGAAAAAGAAATGTAGGAAAGCTTATTGTCCCAAGGAAATAAAAATATTTATCAAGTAGAAAAATAAATAAAATCTTATTTGGGTAAATTGAAGGGATAAGCCATTTTTCTATTTTGTACATATGAAACACAAATCTTACTTGTTTTGCAATGCAATCTAACTTTAACCTGTTATTTAAAGTATTCCATATTATTGCCACAGCTGCTGCTACTGAGAGAAACGCGATATGCCTGCGTAAATGATAATGTAGATGGTCTCTAAACATTCAAGTAAAAAGCAGCTTAGTTAATTTAGTTTCAGAAGATAGATAGAACATTTTTCTCTGAACACAGTTTTATAGGTATTTAGGGGCTTCTTCCTTTCAGTGCTCTCCCATAACCTCTAAGTAGTTGTAAGAAGTCTGTTACACTATCTAACATAAGGTCTTCTTGAATCATTATTGCAATTATGATTGTGGAACTAATTAGTTTCCTTGACAACTGTTTTTGCAAAGCCTGAAAAGAGTATGAAGTTCCCATCGTAAGAACATTCTGTAGGTGATTTTTAAAAGTATGTCAAAAGACACTTATTTACAATCAGTGGAACTTTAATGTTCATATTCATGAGTCAGTATGGTTATCTTGTTTTGAAATGGCATAATATTATTATTGCAATGTGGTATATATATAAAACATTGTTGCAACAGTGTGAACCTACTCTTTTAAAACTTGAGGGATAATGTGTATAAAATGCTTAACTTTGAGCAGATTAATCCTTTCTGATATCAGTTAGTCAACTCAGATGATGCACTATTTGTCTGCTTTGAGGCTTAGGTATTTGCAGCTAGGCATCTACAGCTAGGTCCAAAGAAGGACATAGGCAACAAGAATGAAATTTGGCAGACTTTTGAATGAAATCTGCATCACCTATCCTGTGCTCACTTAGCTGCTTCTGATGACTGAGATTCCCTTCCTGGTAATTCATGTAGAAAAGTTTCTAAGACTCCTGAAGGTTTTCATCTGTGTGTGCCCAGACCTATGGCACTTCAGCTGAACTGAGTGTTTCTGTCTTGCTCTAAATGTAATTAAAAAACAAGATATCTGTAGATCCTATGTATGCAATCTCATGGATATTACTTATCCCAAGAGAATTTTGGGATGCCCTAAGTATCATGATACTTAACTATACCTAACATACTATTCTGGTGAAAATGTGTGCAAGCTAATGCAACTGAGTTAATCAGAGAACTGGGGAGAGATGGAGGCAAAGATACATTTGTTGTCCTTCGATGGGTGCTTAGCAGGGAAATGGGAGTTGTCACAAGAAATAAAACTTTGGTTCTGATTCCTGCAGAAGGAGCTTGCTTATGCTTTCAAGAGCCATTGGATATAAGGCAGAAGTAGTAATCCCTGAGGGCAGGGACTGGAAGCCAAAACTCTACTTGCATGAATACACCACTCCTATGGGCCCTGAGTCCACAACTTCTGCTTGCTGTGTAAGTGTGAGCAAGTACCACCTCCTGGCTGGCAGTCAAATTCTATAATAACACAATATGATGATCTTCCATTACCAGTGTTAGGTCTAGGAAGGAGCCTGAGGCTGCAAATTGGTGTCTGGCATCAATGAGGTGTATAAATGAGACAGACATTCCTTTAAATTTTCACATGGTTTGCCTCAGCAGCCTCCAATTATGTATCTACTTGATTTTGTAATTTCTGTTCCTAGGCCTATAACATGGTCTCCATTCACTGAATCACTCAAATTTGTGATTAGTTCCTCAGAATTTGTAATCCTTTTAATAAAAGTTTCCTGGTTTTCTGAAGGGTTTGCCAATGGAACCTTGCACTGACTTTGAGAAATACTCAGCACACCAACTTCTTAAAACACTTTGCCTTAAATAAATGTATGTATAAATATATTCATGTATGTGTATATGTTTGTACATACACTACTATATATTATATCTATGTATATATAATTTTACTTACTACTTTTTTGAGTTATTTTTTGCAGTCAGCAGTTCCATCTTTGTATTTCACTTTTTACTTAGGCTTATGAGCATGTATTTAAGAATCATGCTTTGAAGAAAGAGTGGCATAGTCTTAAATGTAGTATTTTATGTATTCCAGTATCCCACTAGGGATGTCAGTTGGCAGTACTTGCAGGCCAGTGCAACTCTAACATCGGTGTGCTTGCCTCTGAGTGAAGTCTTTATCAGATTTTAAGTACTGATTTGTGATATTTTAGAAAAATTTGTTCTGGCTTCTCTATAGTGTTAAGCTTTTTCTACTCCTGTGAGAAAAAAAGGGGATTCTCAAAGGAGCTGTGTGCCTTAGCTCTTTATCAGTGTTAGGACAGCATAGACTAACCTTTGCAGCCGTAACAAGCCTCTGACTAGGTGTCACCAGGAACAGCTGAACTCCGTCAACTCCTAGAGCCAACACTACAGCCTATTTGTATGGGTCCATTTACTCTTTCTCAGCAGGGCAGAGGTAGACGTCCTGTCTTTGTACTGTGCAGCTGGTACAAAAGTGTCAAAATCAGGTGTCATTCTGAACCATTACTGTTGCAACCTAAAAACACTTCTACAGTTTTATATTAAATGTATCTTAAAAGAAGATGAAATGAAAGGTGTTAAAAGAGGATACTTTCTGCAAGTGCTAGATATATTTTCAGAAATTAGTGGCAGAAGATTTATGCAGGTGCCGGCTTGCAAAGGCTTTTATCCAGTCAGTACGGTTTCTCTGGAAGGCCAGTAGATATATTAAAAATGGTTGCAACTTGTGTTTTATCATAAGTTATTTATTCTTCTTTATAAATTAATAACTTACAGCAATAGTGGGAAAATGAAAAAAGCATTTGGGGATAATAAGAAGCCTTTAGACCTATTTTTCTCACTTTGCGATATTGGTTGTTGTGGATTTTTTTAACTTCCAATACTGCATGAACTGTCGGAATATTTTTTTAACATCCCTGGAATAGTTTTAATCCCTTGTTCATCTCATTTACTTTTTTTTTCAATGCATGTCTGTCACCAATGCTTAAAATCATATAGTGATAGGCAAAGAGGAACAATCTAATATGTGGTATTTTCTCCCATCATCACTAGTAGCAAAGACGATACTTTTCATGCCAAACATGATTTTCATCAGTAGTTTTTACAAAAATGCAGTTCATGATCTCCAGTGGTGTCAAAATGAATAAAAAATAAAAATAGCTCCTGTCAATGCTACAGGTATATGTCTATATATATGTATTTGAATTTGTGTATGTACATTTTATGGTGTATTACATAGACAAAATAGGGCTTTTGAACTATACAGACAGTGTTTTATTAGAATAGAAGCTAGGACAATGAACTTTTTAATCCAGAGACTGAAAATGACTAAGTACAGAAAAATAGAAATAAGTCTCGTGATGCCCACAATTTTCTCTCAGGCTGAGACCTTTTCTTTGATTTTGCTCTCAGTCAAGCAATTAATTGACTTTTTTTGGGTAAAAATAAATTCTGTATGATCCCATCTGTGTAGCTGGGGAAGGAAGGAAGCTATTCTTGTCACCTTTTGCTGCCAAACAGC